GAGGATAGTCAGATATCTCAGAGAGCTAGGGTGCACTAATCTTCGTCATTCATCACCCCTTTTCCCTCTTTTTTTCACTAATATTCAGAGGTGCCTTAACCACAATGCTTCATCCAAAATCTTGCAAGTGACAACTTATATATCTCGTACAAATCCATACTTGCTATCACTCTGTCTTAGATTGTCACACTATGTCCTCCTAAACTATTGTGCATTGTAGTAAGGATCATGCAAGGCAATGACCAGATATCGTTGCCTTTGTGTTGTGCATGTGCCTTCATTTGCAAGCCCAAGTTGTTGCATAATAGATACTTTGAGCAAAATCAAATGTTCAACAATAATGAAGTTCCTTAGTTGCAATGGCTTGTTTCTTGCCTTCATTCTAAAATTTTTTCGCTTTCATTGTTAAAATGCTTTTTTTTCACCTTCATTAAGCAACGACTAAGGTATGAAACAAGTGTATCAGAAAACACATTCGGTTTTATGCCAGGGAGGTCAACAATTGAAGCTACTTTTCTACTTAGGCAACTGGTTGAGAAGTTTAGGGCGAAGGAAAAAGACCTACACATAGTCTTTATTGATCTAGAGAAAGCTTATAATAGAGTACCTCAATATTTAATTTACCGAGTGTTGAAAAAGAAACGAGTCTCCAAACACTATATCGACTTGGTGAGAGATGTATGAGGGAGAGCTAAGTATTGTGCGAATAACAAATGGAAAGAAGAGTAAGTTTTCAGTGACAATAAGACTACATCAAGGATCATTGTTGAGGCCATACTTCTTTGTTTTAGTTATGGGAGACTTAATTAGGCACCTACACAACAAGGTATCGTGGTGTATGTTGTTCAAGGACAACATAGTTTTAATCAATGAGAATTGAAGCGGCATCAACACAAAGTTCGAACTTTGGAGGGATGCTCTAGAATCTAAAGGCTTTAAAATTAGCCAGACTAAGACAGAGTATATGGAATGCATGTTTAGTAATAATAAGAGTAAAGACGATGAAATAGTTAAGATTGACAGCTAAGAAATACCAAAAAGAGTGCACTTTCGAGATCTTGGGTCGATAGTCTAAGAAATAGAGAGATTAAGAAAGATATCACACAAAGAATTGGGACTGGGTAGGAGAAGTGGAGATGTACAACGAGAGTTTTATGTGATGGCCGCTTACCAGTGAAGTTGAAGGGCAAGTTATATAGGACAGCTATGAGACCAGCTTTGCTTGAACATTGGGCGCTCAAGAAACAACATACCCATAGGATGAGTGTAGCTGAGATGAGGATGTTGAGATGGATGAGTGGCAAGACAAGAATGGATAGAATTCGAAATGAATACATTCAGGAGAGGTTAAGTGTAGCTCCAATTGGGAATAAGACGAGAGAAAGTAAACTTAGGTAGGCTGGCTTGCACCAACCCAATACAGCACTTGTTAGGAGGTGCGAGTTGGTCTAAGTGGAAGACTAAAACAGCGCAAGCGGCAGGTCCAAAAGGACATGGTTGGAAGTAGTGAGAAAAGATATGGAAAATTTTGGCCTCACTGAGGGCCCTTGATAGAGTAGATGGCAGACCAGGATTTATGTAGCAGATCTCAAATAGTTAGGAAAAGGTTATGATGATAATGATGATTTGGTTAATATTGTGGACTTTGTGCACTTTTTGTATATAAATTCTTTTCTTTTTTTTTAATTACTTGTCTAGTTTTCTTTTCAATTACTTGTCAATTGAAGTAAGGAAAACTCATGTATCTTTTCTGCATTTCAAGTTATATGAGAATTTGATTTATTCATCCATTGTGTTCGTTGTTTAATTAATAAATTCCTTAAAGTTGAACACTAAACCATGGACATTGTTCCTTCGTTGAGTTTATGTTTGTTTGTATTTTCAATTTTCTTTCATTGTATTTTCATATTGATAGGATTAATAAAACACAAAAATCAGTTTTTTGTTCAACTATTCAAAATTTCAAATAATTGGTTGATCATATTCATCAGTGATTCAAAAAGAGAACTGCCCAGCGCTTGGGCGTCTGTTTGTATTTTCAATTTTCTTTCATTGTATTTTCATATTGATATGATTAATAGAACACAAAAATCAGTTTTTTGTTCAACTATTCAAAATTTCAAATAATTGGTTGATCATATTCATCAATGATTCAAAAAGTGAACCGCCCAACGCCTAGGTGGCCGCCTAGGGGGTCCAGAAGGCCTGGGTGCATCGCCCAAGCCTAGGCGGCCAAATTAGGGGAATATCCTGGGAGTCCGCCAGGCGGCCACCCAGGGGCAGAAATGCCCCTTATTAAGGACATGCTTTGATCATGTTTTTAATACTAAAGGGGCAAAATTGAGAATTTTAAGTTCATTTGAAACCTAAAACCCATTAAAGCCTATTTTAGAGCGATAAAAACCCAACAATTTTTTTCTTTCTACTGGGCCGCCCAAGTTTTAGGCCCCCGCCTAGGAGTTGGCCGGCCTGTACCCCCCAGCCGCTTAGGCGCCGCCTAGCGCTTTTTGAAACACTGTTATTCATTATTCACTTTTTCCATTTTTTAGGTCTTTGAATTTTTTACTTTTTTTTAGTTTTTCGAATTTTTGACCGGCTTGACAAATGAATTGAACCAGGCCAACCAATCAAACCGAGCTGGCTCTCTCATTTGTTCAACCTCTGATCCAGTCTTAACAACATTGATAAGACTGCACCAACAACTACCAAAGTTGTGACATCAAAAGTACAAAGAATATGCACAACCACTAGAATATCAGTCTTAATAAGAAGGAATTTCATAGTGAACTCGGGTTGAGAAGGGGTGCATGATGCCACCTAAGGAGCATAACTTTTCATGTTTTGGGAATTAACATCCCAAACATGGGCAATGCCTAAATTGATTTCTAAGAGCCTCCTCTAAAAGCTCTAAGCTTGAAATCTCCTTAAAGCTAGAACCATGCGGCCACTTGATGTTACCTTTAAGGCCAGTTCCTCTACAACTCAGAGCATTGACTAGGAAGTAAGCCGAACATATTGGAAATTTTAGCGGCATCAACTTTTCTTCTATTTATTAAAAATCCAGTACCAAAAAGAACCCTCTATCCTTCGTATTGCACTCTATACAATACCAAAAAGAACCCCCTATCCTTTGTATTGAAGTCTGACTAATCCCATAACAAAACCAAAAACAAAAAATCAATTATTATAATGCATCAGTTTTTTTTCATAAAATAAGTAAATAGATAAGAGCACATAGAATTAGAGCTAGGTGGACAAAGTGGAGATTTTCTTCTGGAGTCCCATGCCAATAAAACTAATCAGGAAGTTCTATAAGACAATTGTAAGACCAACCATACTTTATGGGACAGAATGTTGAGCACTCAAGAAACAACTTATCCATAACATGAGTGTAGCTGAGATGAGGATATTGAGATAGATGAGTGGAAAGCAATGATAAAAATCGGAATGAATACATCCAAGGGAATTTAGCGGTAGCTCCAATATGTGATAAGATGAGAAAAGCAAACTTAGGTGGTCCGACCATGTGCAGCGTCGATCTAAAACAAAACTAGTTAGGAGGGGTGATTTGGTTCAAGTGGAAGGTTTTTTAAGGGAAGGAGGAAGGTCAAAAGAATATAGATGGAAGTAATGAGAAAAATGTGGTGACTTATGGTCTACGGGTATAGCCCTTGATAGAGCATAATGGTGAAAGAAGATTCGTGTAGCTGACTCCAAATCATTGGGATAAGGCTCGGATGATGATGATGATGAATAAATAAATAAGATTTCTACATATGGATCTTTGTTGCAACATCAATATCCCTAACCTTGCACCTAAGACATTGTTTTAAAATGCAATTGCATAATTCACTATGCGCCCTGAAGCGCATTGCATAGGGCGCATATGCGCTTTGGTGAGATGCGCTCGCATATGCTCCGCATCCACCGCAAATGCGGCCGTATAGCGCATAGCTCATATGCCCCACATAGCTCATAGCTCATATGCGCCACATAGCTCGTGGGCGAAAATAGTGCATAGCTCATATGCGCCACATAGCTCGTGGGTGAAAATAGCGCCTATGAGGATGGATATTTTTGTTATTTCCCCCCTAAAAAGGGGGAGAAAGGGTTTAGGGGGGTATTAACCACCCCCAACCCAAAAAACACAAAAAATATCCACAAATATGGCCATTTTTGGATCAAATGAAGAGGAAAAAAATTTGGCAAAATTTTTTAGTAAAAATAAAGATTAAGAATATGTGGAGGCCGCCGAGGATAATTATGATGATGATTGCTCGCACTCAAATGCTAGAGATGCATATGCACATGGAGGCTGTCTAGATGACTTGTCTGATTGAGATTTGAGAGTGAGACCTGAGACTTGAGAGCTGGTTAGATCATCTTTTGATTTCTATTAGTTTTCTATGATTTGTCTCGACTCTTGAACTCTTCAGACTTTTAGTGGTTGTATGTATTTTGCTTTGGAGTATGCAACTTTAAAGTTTGCAATTGCAAATTTGTGATCATGGTTTTTGGATCTTTATGAATTATGACAATATGATATATTCTAAGTTCTAATGCTATAAAGTTATTCAAGTTTCTACTTTCTACGTTCTATTTCTAATGTCTTCTATCAAGGGATCCAGAGTCTCTGACAGGTGATAATATTGGAGTTAATGAATAAATTAGATACCTACTATCACATAAATCACCTTCATATTTTCCCATGCATTAACGTATTTTAAAGATTTTTTGGAATTCTTTTATATTTGTTGACCGCATTGAGGTGAAGCACCCACATCACCGCATCGGCCCCCCGACCGCGTCAGGACCTTGTCCCACATTTTAAAAAAACTGATCCAAGATGCCAGCATTTCATATGATTTTCAAAATGGTTCTGAATGTGGGTGAGCACATCAGCCAAGTTTAAATGAAGATCATAAAAACAAGTAGATAATTATTTTATATGAATAGAAATAATATAACAGCTTGCACAGTTTGGAATGACAAACCCACACCTTTAGCATATTGTATGATGTACAAGACTCCTGGTTTTCTGTTCCAAGGGTGCTCCCAAGACGTTTTGGATCAGTCCTTCAATAAAATGCAAGGAACAGCAATTGGATCATGAGATGACATTTCATTATTTATCAAAAACAGATGACATTTGCATCATTTAAAAGAAGTGTAAACTGCATTCTTATGGAAAATATGCATTTGTTTGTGAACCTCAATGAGAAAATTTAACAAATAGGGAATCACTTACCAAAATTCACCTGCAGAAGTACCACCAGTAATATATGCATGAGAAGAATTAATTGTCTCCATGAAGAACACACTAATTTCCTGTATAGAAATCTTTAGATCATTATTGTACCAAGAAAATTGAGCTTTTAGATGTACAGGGAAAATTGACCCTAACTTAATATTGTAAGAAAAATCCACTTTAACAATGTATGGGTCCACATGAGAATATACATCTATATGAATATATTTATATTTATATAGATAGGTAGGTAGATAGATATGTCTGCATTTGTCTCCAAAGAATTAGCAATGAGCCAACCGAGGTGGGTATTGTACTAATCAAGTAGTTGATGGAATGTAAATTGTACCTTCAGTAGAGAATCTTGGGTAACTTCATATCCTTTTTCTGATCCTATAACAATAGGGATATGAGTGTTGGCATGAAAATTTGAGAGACTATCAGCCTGCAACAGGACAGGCATTTAATAAGGATACTCAAACATAAGCCAATAATACAGATCTGCAAAAGCTTATTGGGAAAAGGTAATCATACCACTGACAAGAAGGTCAAATGACTAATTGAATGATCATGTTTGATACAGGGTTTATAATGGATATTAACCATAACAATATCACGTTCACTATCTTATGTAGAAAAGTTTGTGCAGCTATTGTGATGAAGAAAGGTAAATTCATGTTATTTTCATAATAATGTCAAATTAGATACTGTTTATTGATAAATAAATGGGAAACACAGCTTGTTTGGGTTTGTGGAAAAAACTGGATGCTTTGAACATATAAATACAAGAAATGCATCGACAGTATTGCATGGTAGAGTCACCATGGCATGTATGTATCTTTGAGGAAAGCCTAAAATATGTGTATATGAATAACGAAAACAAGTGGTGCTTCACCAAAATGGTAATTAAAAGGACTTCACTAGTGCCCAAGGCAAATAACCAGTTAAGCATATATAGCAGGAATGCCCTCCACATGTTTTTCCAAAATGCAGGTATGAGATTTTAATTAAAAAATTGGATTCAAGTTCAATAGAGCTTAAATTCAACTCCCACATGCATTCCAAAATACTCCAGGTACAAATGTTAGAATGACATGCCTTTAGGGTAGTTTGTGAGGAGACAAAAGAGGAATAGCGGAGAAGAAACAGAACTGATAGGCAAGGCAAAAGTAGTAGCAAGGCAGTTAAGTAACAGCCAAGAAACAGTGGCTATGAGAAGGCAAAATGCAATACTAAGGAATTTTCTTGTCACAAGCTCCGAAATCAGATATTGAACAAACAATAATAAAGTGAGGCACTTTATTGTCCATAACAATGCTGGGACAATCTCTTGGAAACTGACTGCATCATATGATTGACAACTCTTACCAAAGGGTAGAAAATGACAGTTTTTAGCAGATTTCATAAACATGAAATCAGTGGCCAACTTGGTCATTGCCAACCGAGTCAATTAACCAAGTTAAACTTTCAACTAGGAAAAACTTGGTGAATTTCCAAACTACTGTTTGAAGCATTTTGAAATACATATAACGGGATTCAAATCCAGCTGATGGCAATATCATACCACAAGCCTATCACATTTGAAAAATCCTTTTCAAAATAATATATAAGCAAACCTTTTATATATAGGCAAACAGTTAAAAACGCCTATAGGTGAAGTTCTACAATACTTCACCTACAACTCGTCACCGTCTAAAGTCAATCACACGATCGCGGTTGTCTAGTAGTGTTTGAATTTTAATAATTATTTTACTAATCTAATTTATCTAAAATTTGAGGCATGTGTACATATGACCAACTCGCGTCAAAATAAAACATTAAACAATAATCATCAAAAACTACATTGACAAAAATACCCCTGAAATTTTATAGGGGTATTTTAGATCATTTTTGTCATCCAAATTATGTGTTTTACATTTTATTCAAGTGTGCCTCACTAAGGCACACTCACCTACAAAAATTCAAATCATTATGATTTGTAAGAAAATTATTAAAATTGAAGAGACATATGTGACAGTGTGATGGACTTTAGACGGTGATAGGCCATAGGTGAAGTACTGTAGAACTCCACCTATAGGCATTTTGAAGCGTTTTTTTTTTTTATTATATATATATAGAAGCCACTACGCAATGCCTATAGGTGAAAATGAATAGTGTTTTCGCCCATAAGCTCGGCACCATCCGATTTTTTCGGACGGCGAGGATTAAAGACCGCCATGGACCTAGCATGTCCGTGGCAAGGCGAAACACTGTACAGAATCGCCTATAGGCGCTTAAGAGCTCTTCTCTC